CACACACACACACACACACACACACACACACACACACACACACACACACAGATCAGTGCTGCCTGTGGAATGTGTGAAAGAGGAGAGCTGCATGGTCAGAGATTAACATTTTTTCAGGTCCAGAGCTGGAACCAGTGTTCAAGTCTTCTTCTTCTGATGGGTCACCATTCATAAAAAACTGTATATTAGTTATTGGTTTTGAAAAATAAACCTAATTTACATAATGTTACAAAATTAGCTCTCAATACTTTATAGGTTATTATAGTTTGGGGTTGCCAGGTTGTGGAAAATCCTCCTCAAACATGATGGAGTTATCTTATAAGTAAAAGGCTTTGCAGGACAACAGGAGCAAAGTCCATTTACAAACTGCCAATTAGAGCTTTTACAACTGTTGACATGTTAAAGTACACGTTATTGTAGAAGTACTAAAGGTTCAGTGTGTAGAATTTAGTGACATTTAGTGGAGAATTTGCATTTGGCAGCTGAATAACCCTCCCTCCCCTTACCTCAACAACTTGTTGACAGACAAGCTTATGTTCCCAAGATGCATTGTGATTAATTCTTCCTTAAAAGGCACTCGTGTTTGCCCTGGCACAAAAAAATGTACTGCCAAACATTTAGCAAAGCACAAACTGTCACAGGCGATATGAAAAGTTTCAACTGTGTTGTAATGAAGCGTGAATGCTTACAAAAAGAAACAAAGCACAGAGCAGTTTAAAGTTAAATCCATCTTTATTGACATTAATGTTTACTGTATGGTCTGTAACATCACAATAGCATACTGGGAAATTATTACAGGAAGAAGGGATGGTGAATGCCCCGGGTGTCTCGTAAACCTCACCTTATTTAAATCTTATCAAAGGTCAAAGGTGAAGGTGAGTGGGTCATACATCACTCTCAATCACACGCCAGTCTATCATCACTTATCTCATTCTGTCTCCAGAATACAGCATATTCATAAGAGCTAGAAAGCATTGGAATAAATAAAACAAGTGTGGGAATCATCATAGCCGTCATACGTTTCAATCTGACAGTGTGTGTAGAAAGAGTGACCAGAGACAACAGAAGGTGGAGGCGAGGAGGACTATAGGGTTCATCGTCTTCCTAAAAAAATCCACCTGGGGAATGTTAAGTCTGCCTCATGTCGCTTTGCCATTTTGTAGCAGTTTAGAAATCCTCCCTTCCGTCGCTCTCACCATCGCATCAACCCAGCCAGCCCTGGAATAACGGTCAGGTTCATGAGACGATGTGCTTTGTAAAACTCTCTTTACTTTAAATATCCTGAAATCAAAGCAAATCATTCACCAAAGTCTCCTCTGGAAAAAAAAATAAAAAACTGAGAAGTCTTCCTGTGAGAGTCTTGATCATTATTGTGTTTGTGGAACAAAATATCAAGTTGTTTTTGTTTGTTTGTTTACTCTCTTTTTTTCTGCAACAGAAGAGACCTTGTTCTGACTTTAATTTCGACGAGGAGAGAACACGATGCTGCCTGTGTTCAGTCCATGCAGTGAGTCAGTGTGAATAATGGAAAAATTACATTCAGAAAAATAAAACGTTTCTCCCTCCTTCACTCCTCTCCTATAGCCCAGTGTCTGATACAGCTTAAACATAAACCTAAAGTGAGAGCTGTGCTCAGTGTGGTGAAACTTACACAATGTTAAAGTCAGGAAATACGAGTTGTGAAATATAGCGTCTAGACTGGGAATTTAATCTACTTTCAAAGACAATGATAAAGAAAAAAAATTGTTAGTTTGTCTCTATTGTTTGAATAAAGCCATAATATTACAAAAATGAAGTAGTAATTGAGAAGAAACTCATGATATTAAGATACTAAAGTCGGAATATCCCCAG